TAAGTAGTTTCGTGTGCTTTTTAGCAAGTGAGAAGAATCATGAAAGAAATAAATTTTACCATCGTTCACCTCAAAAAATGGATTGTCTTCGCTAACTCCTAAGCTTTTGGCTAAACTAATAAAATTTTTTGCTTGGTCACAAACAAAATGGCATGGACTTAATCCTATACTTTGAAGTTGCTTAATTACTTTAATAAGATATCTCTTTATAACTTCCGCTTTACAACTACCACTAGTAAAGAAGTAAGCAAAAGGCTGTGACCATTTATCTCCACCAATTCCTTGAACTAAAAAGGTAAAAACACTATTTGCAATTTTGGAACTGCGATTCTCGTCACCGTAATCTTCAAGGCCAACAATTTTATCGTTGTGCCTATCATATTGCAGGTGACTTTTTAGAGACATTTCGTCACAGGAAGCTGAAACATACTTTTGAGCGTATGTGAAGTTCCGACTACGAAATTCAAGGGACTTAAGGCTACTATTTATGCAGCCTGGAGATTTGAGCCACTTTGAAACAAACTCTAAAAGAGTTCGCCTTATTGGCCAATTAAAAGAAATTCTTAAATGTCTATAGGCTATCGGAGACAGAAAAAACACCCCTAATGCGAGAGTTTTTAAAATCTTATCATACCTATAGCCGTTTACCGGCCTATCGCTATTTTTTAAACAATTTCTAACAGAAATTTGAAGATTTTAGGAGAGCCTACTACAAAATTCCTCTAAATTATCCCCCTCTGGCACTTCATTGATACTGGTAAATGTCTTACCAGGTGAAAGTTGTCGAAGCAACTCATTATTTGAGGCCCTAAGCTTTTCAATCTCTAAATTTTGTTTTGAAATAATTTTATCCCTAACACCTAAATCTAAACAAATCTTTTTTAGTTTATTATTTAGTTCTTGATTTTCTTCCACCAATTTTCTTTTCCTAGGAGACAACTCAGAAGACGAACTATTTCTTTGGGTCTCTATGTTACCTATTGGAATTGCCTCTTCTACCTTTCCTACCCTTTCTACTATTATGTTATTGGTGGTGGGTGGAGATAAGATATTTGAAATTATGTTGTTTGCTATTGAATTATGAAGACAATCTATTTTTTTCAAAAAAACATGTATGTTTTTCTTATCACCATCCACTACTTTAAGTAATTTCTTGCTAACACAAATTGCTAAATTTTGGTCAGGCTTTGCTTCCCGGATTAAATTTTTCGTGCAACGCATTTTTGCAGAAAAGTGCCTATCACAGGCATAAAATATCCGGTTTATGGAGTCAGTAACTCCTAACAGAGCCTTCCACTCGTTTCTATAATAAAAATCATAAAACGACCATTACTTAAAATTTGTATGAAAACATGCAACACAGTTTGGAGAACTATTAAGGAACATTTAATACAAAGATAATAGTTACGAAAAATATAGATCACATTGACTAAATCGCAGACTTTGTTCAAGCAACAACAAAATCTGCAGCAATTTTATAAAGTGGAATGCAACTGCACGTCGAAAACCTTTTGTCTGTATGATTTGAAGAAAAAAACAAACAAAAAAATGGCAAATTGTACAATATATTTTTAAAACATATAATTTTTTACACATGTGTTTTGTTAAAATATAATTAACATAAATTTAAATATCTATATATAATAACAACACTCAACCAAAGTATAATTAATAATATTAATTTCACTTCAAGATTTTTCCTTTTTTATAATTATTAGTATATCATAGAAAAAAAAATTTTCTAATCACTTTCAAAGTACTAAATTATAAATGAAAGCACAACTTAATTCGTAGTTTATTATATACACTAATTAGGCACACATCTAAGTTTCTAATGTGTTAATACATTTATATATTTACTTTATTCTACAACAATAAATTGCGTTATTTTTAATTAATAATATACCTTCGAAGACATGCTGCGTCAGGACAAAACTCGGTAACGGGTTGTTATGGTCACATAAGTAAGTAAGTAAGTAATATACCTTCGATAATCCTTTGGAAAAATAAAGAGATGTTTGAAATTTAAACATCCAAGTACGCACTTCCGTTTCATCTGTAAATAAATTTTAATTAACTCATAATTCGTATATTTTTCTGGAATAATTATCTTTTTTTAATGCTTTTATAATTGATAACAAATTCCGCCATATTTTTCTTTTAGAAATGTGGTATTTGTGCACTTAATTGCAACTTTGGCGCATTTTCTCGTAACGGATTTTTAATGTCAAAAAATCAAAACAAACAACGAAATTTCTTAGAAACCTCTCTTACTTAAGCAAATATCGTGGTGAGTAGGGACCGGGTGGGCAAAGTAGCAGGGTCCGGGTGGGGAAAATATTCACGCGCCATTATGTAGCATTAGGCTTTTTGTTATTGTACTGCGTAATATTTTCACCTCATTACACAAAATTTTTGAATATTTTTTGAATAATCCAGAAAAATTTATATACATTTTTTCGAGTAACTCTCAATTTCTTTTCTTTATCTTCTTTGGGGCGGAGTTTCCGTTCTTGTAAAAGTATGAGTTTCTTGGCTGTGACCAGAGAATATCTTTTCTAGAATGGAAACTCCACCCACCTCGATCAAAACTAAGAGAAATTGCTTAAGGAAATTCATTTTTTATAACATTTTTGTCACACGTATTAAGTGTGATTAAACCACACTTATGCCACTTTTACGCTCTTTCAGGGCTGCTGCATAACTTTTTTTCAACTACTTACTGTACAAGTTTTTATTTAAGCATATATGTAAATACTCATATATGAATATAAGAATACATTACATATAATTTGAATATTGTAGTATATTCGATCATGGCAACCCTGTATAAAGAAATAGATAAAAAAGGAAAAAATACAAAATGCGTTGTTGTTCGTCGTTGTGCTCAAAGTAGTAAGCGTGCCGTGCCATAATTATTATTATTATTAATATTAAATTGTAAATCTATATAACTTAATCAATAAAGTATATTGTATTATATATAAAGAATATAATAAAATTTGGTGACGAGGATAAAACATTAAAGGATGGCGAAGAATTTTGGTGAATTAAGCCAATATAACGTGGCGTCGGGGAAATGGAAAACATACATGGAACAAATGGAATTTTTCTTTGTTGCAAATGACATCGCAGACGCAAAAAAGAAAAAAGCGATCTTTTTAGCCTCATGTGGGACGGAAACCTACACGATATTAAAATCGGTTGCCACACCGATTAACATTTTAGAGGAAAAATTTACATATGAGGCGGCAACTAAATTATTGACTAGTTATTTTTGTCCGGCAGAAAATATAATAATACAAAGATTTAAATTTTATCGGAGAAACCAAAAAAAGGACGAATTAATTACCGAATATTTGGCAGCGCTAAGGAAATTGAGCCAAGACTGCAATTTCAACGATTTGGAGGAAATGTTACGAGACAGACTAGTCTGTGGCATGCGCGATGAAAATTTACAAAAGCGGCTTCTGGCGAATGACCAGTTAACATTAAAAATAGCGCAGGAGGAAGCTATAGCATCAGAAACAGCACAAAAAAATGCGACGGAACTTAAAACGTCAGCCAGCCTGCCAGTGTTGAATAAAATTTCAAACAACAAGGTAAAACCAAATCGTGCGCCAGTGGACCATGTTCAGAATTGTTATCGTTGTCGAGGAAATCATCATTCAGATCAGTGCAAATTTAAAGACGCGGAATGTTATTATTGCAAAAAGCGTGGATATATTGAGAGAGCTTGCATAAAAAAAGCAAAAATCAAAAAGCCAGCAACAAATAATGGGAGAAGACCAAACAGAGTAAATCTTTTAGATACAAACCAGGAAACTCAAACGACGGAGTATTTATGGTCAATGTTCGCTAAAGGTAGTCCATCGGTCAAGAGAGTGATTACGATAGGTAAATCACCGGTACAAATGGAAATAGACTCGGGGGCAAGTTACTCAACAGTAAGTGAAAAGTTATTTAGAGAAAAAATGTCGTATATTCCGCTAAAACCAAGTCAAATACAATTAAGAACTTGAGGAACAGAGAAAAATCTTGAACTGAGTGGAGAAGCAGAAGTACCAGTCTCGGTTGGGAACGTCACAAAGAAACTAAAGTTGTTAGTAGCAGCGGGTGATGGTCCGGCTCTAATTGGTCGAAATTGGTTTAACGATTTGGGAATTACTATAACTAGCAATTTATGCAATATAGAATCAACCATTCCAGTAAAAGTGATGAACTTCAGTTCAGTTTTTGATGGAAATTTTGGAGATTACAAGGGAAATCCTGTGAAGTTACAAATGTCAGTTTCAAGTAAACCGAAATTTCTTCGATATCGACATGTGCCTTTTGCACTAAAACTCAAGGTGGAAGCAGCATTAAAGAAGTTGGAAGATGAAGGCGCACTGCGTTCAATATCCTTTAGTAAGTGGGCAACACCGGTTGTACCTATTATTAAACCAGATGGTAGCATACGTATTTGTGGAGATTATAAGTGCACAGTGAATCAAATGCTTTGCAAGGAAACGTATCCATTACCTACTAATACAGAAGTGCTAGCAGCACTTCGACATTCTAATTGGCGGAACAACTTTGGAAGAGTTGTGGGATAGAACACGAACTGCTCTGAAATGTGTACAGGATGCAGGATTGAAGCTTAAAAAATCAAAATGTGTTTTCGCAGTACAAGAGACAACATTTTTGGGGTTTAAGATAAGCCGAGAAGGAGTGCGTCCAACTGACGAAAAGGTGAAGGCAATAGCTCAAGCACCAGAACCAATAAATAAACAACAGCCACAAGCTTTTCTTGGGTTAATTACGATCTATTGGAACCGCTGTATCAACTATTAAGAAAAGAGACACCTTTTAAATGGGGTAGAGAACAGAAATTAAGTTTTGAACGAGCAAAGAAACTACTACAATCAAAAAATCTGTTGGTGCATTATTCGGCTGACTTACCACTGATATTATGCGGAGACGCATCACCGTACGGAGTTGGCGTGGTTTTGGCACACAAGATGCCGGATGATAGTGAAGCACCGATTGCTTTTGGCTCCAGAACATTACAGGGCGCGAAACGAAATTATTCACAGTTGGATAAAGAAGCGCTAGCGATTATGTTTGGTGTGCAAAAGTTTCATCAATTTTTAAGTGGTAGACAATTTACAATAATGACTGATCATAAACCACTAGTGGGATTATTCAACCCAGAAAAACCAATATCACAGCATATATCACCCAGAATGTTAAGGTGGTCATTAAAGTTGGGCGCTTACCAGTACGAGATTAAATTCCGAGAAGGGAAACATCACCAGAATGCAGATGCATTGAGCCGGTTACCTTTAAATGATGTAAAGCTACAAATACCGGAAATACCTGAAATATTATATTGCAATGAGGCTGAGGAACAGTTTTTAATCACTGCGAAAGACATTGCACAAGCAACCAGAAGAGATCCAGTACTATCAAAAGTAATATGGCATATCCAAAGGAATATGCATGTGATAGTATTGGGGTGTAAATCAGCGGCTGGAGTAGGTAATCTACAATTTATAGAATCAACAATGGATAAAGAAGTGTATCTTAATATATTAAAACAAAATTTGTATAAAAGTGCCGAATATTTAGGCATAATTAACAATTTCTGTTTTTACCAGGATAACGATCTGAAGCACAAGTCGGGTCTTGTGCAGACTTGGCTTGTTGGGAATTGTCCACACATCATCCAAACACCTCCCCAATCACCTGACTTTAGTGTCATAGCAAATTTATGGCATATTCTGGAAACTAACATAAGAAAATATAACATTTATAGCAAGGAAAGTATGAAAGCTGCTATAAAATTGGAATGGCAAAAAATATCAGTGGAATATACTCAAAAATTAGTTATTTCAATGCGTTCAAGGTTGGAGGCAGTAATTAAACAAAAGGACTATCCCACTAAATACTAAAATTCACTTTTTTATGCCAAAAATTATTAATTTTCTAAAAAAAATGTATTGCACGATATAAGCTGTGAGATCAGAATTTGGTGTATGTTTGTTTTTGTTCACTTAACTTCTTGAATATTGATATTTTTGCTAAATTTTTTTTTTGTTTTATAATAAAAACTAAATATTCTTTAAGGCTGCATATTTAAAATTTTTTATTTTGAACAAAATTTTGGATTTTCACGACTAAATCTACAAAAATATTGCTTGCACGAAATAAGCTGTGAGCCACGGTACGTACGGCACCGTATCATCCATCGTCAAACGGGCAAGCAGAAAGGTTTGTACAAACCATTAAGAATCACCTGAAGAAAATGCAGTCTTCAGACATCAATAAGAATTTGGCAAATATACTTTTGCATCTGCGTACAACTCCTAATGCAAATTCAAATTCGAGTCCAGCAGAAATCTTGATGAGAAGGAAGTTGAAAACATTGTTAGATCATTTGCACCCCAGTGATGACAACACTCAGAAGCAGCTAAATTCTGATGAGTATTCCAAACAAATAAAACCAGTTCGCAGTTTCCAGTGTAGTAAAAGTGTTTGGTACCGAAATTTTGGAAGAGGTGAAAAGTGGATGCCAGGGATTATACAATCAACAGGAGATCGCAACTACAAAATTCAATCAAATAGTAACATATTGTCGAGACATATTGACCAGTTGCATAAGCGAGTTTCGGAGACACCGACAAGTTTAGAATCCAATATAACTCCAGTAACAGTAACTTCAGTGGCACAACCGGAAGAGCAAGACGACCAAGTAAGTCCAGGTCATTCATCAAATGAATATATCCTACCAGATAGTCAAGTAGAGGGGTCATTAGAAGAAAAAGATAAAAGAGATGAAACATTAAAATCGCGACCGTACCGGCAGAGGCAACCGCCAAAAAGGTTACGGGACTATTTGATGGGGGAGGAACTGTAGTATATTCGATCATGGCAACCCTCTATAAAGAAATAGATAAAAAAGGAAAAAATACAAAATGCGTTGTTGTTCGCGTTGCGCTCAAAGGAGTAAGCGTGCCGTGCCGTAATTATTATTATTATTAATATTAAATTGTAAATCTATATAATTTAATCAATAAAGTATATTGTATTATATATAAAGATTATAATAAATATTATTAAATTAAATGGAATTATTTACATTAACGTATAATTATGCAAAAAGTTTTTTTGATTGTAATTGAGTATGTTACACAATTATTTGTACACTTTTCTTAGCTATTTATATATTTATGATGTGCGGAAAATAGTTCAGAAGGGGTTCATATGATATGTTGAAAGCAATTAAAATCTATTTTAGCTTAAAATTGAAAAAATATGTTTTGTAATTAAATTCAGTATAATATCATGGTTATAATGTTTTCCATTTAAATAGCTTTTTGGAGTTAAAATATTTGTAAATTGGATATATTATATAATGAAATTTAAAGTTATATGACATTAATATATACCTATAACATCTATGCAAATAAATTATATACTGAAAAATAGAAATAATTAATTTTTAAAATAGTGATTCAGTGTTAAACATATCAAAAGTGATATTATAATTTATTTTACTTATTTTCAGAAATAAATAACTGAGTATATAGCATTGTTCACTTCAAGAAATATAATATTCCAAAATTTATTTAATATATATTGGATTTCGTTAGAAATTGTAGAAAATAATTTCAAAATTAAATAAATTTTTAAACAATCGCAATAAATACTAATTTCATTGCTTGCACGGCCACTCCATTATGGTGAATGCATTTTTAAAATAGAGCATTGCCTAAGAAATTTTCATTCTTATTAATTCGTAAAACGAATTTTATAGTCAGTACCAGATATTCTCTGGTACTGACTATAAATAAATAATTGAGTATATAGCAGAGTTCGGAATGTGGTACACAAAATCGCACACTGCACTGTTCGAGTGGAAATTATTTTTAAAAGATGCACACGCACATTTGTGGTGTTAAGAAAAAAAATGCACGCACTCAAATTTGTTGTGCGATTTCAAATTTCACATCGCACAAAGCAATGATTGTGCACACAGATTCGTGCACACACATTTGTGCTGTCACCCCTGCGGGATAGGGGTTAGAATATTCCCGCGGTAAGGCATGCCTGTCGTAAGAGGCGACTAAAATCCAGCTAGGCGTCGGAGGGTGTGGCTTAAAAGGTCACAGAAACCCTGAGAAGCCCCTAAGCTGAGCCGAGTAGACGCCGGCTCTAACTAAGCGTCCACCATCCCGGGATGGCATCGAGGGACACGTAAGCGCACAATGTCTGCTCCCAATGTGAGAGCAATTGATGCGCCAACGAGGGAGTCGGAAATGCGCAGCGTCTGTATATCATGTTAGGGACGACTGTCGCACCACAATTCAGATACGAGAGATGATAATGGAGGAAGCCTATAAGAAAAGGCATCAGGATCGATACCAGTAAGATTCTGATTACGGCATACTGGACAACAGCAAACGATTGGACATGATGACATGATAATGGAGAAAGCCTATAAGAAAAGGCATCAGGATCGATACCAGTAAGATTCTGATTATGGTATACTGGAGCAAACGATGGGATATGATGACTTGGGCTGGTGGATGATGTATTCTGTTACCAATATGGGCTAGAGTGAAATCTGGTCCAGACGGCTTTCAGGCTAATGCTTCATCTGTCTCCGTCCCGTTAAAACCTAGCAAGCCTTAAAGAACGATCTTGGATTCGTCCTGTTAAGTTGGGGTGTAGGGGCAGTTAAGAATATCTGCTGCTTAGCTCCCGGTTTGGCTCTGAACACATGCGCTCATAAGGCTATGTGTCAACCCTCGCATGACCTCCCTGCATTGCAAAGATAATCATGGAACCACAATAAGGGTAACTACACAACGAAACCAAGATAACGGCTTTAAGTTGGGACCCAATTGCAAAGAAAAATGTTCACAACCACAAAAACCACAAAAACACCAATACACTCTGGCGTTAATACTCCAGCCGGCACCGAAAGTGCAAAGAAGTCACGGATAGTCAGTCCCAGTCAAAACCCTTTCATGAGGGCGCCGAGACTAACACACTCACCTGTGCTATCACAAGAGAGGCAAAATAACGAGAGAGCTCGCTCATCCCCTCCGGAGCTTAATGGGAACAGTGTTCCAAAAGTGAAAAGGGAAGCGTTCGTTAAACTCGGGGACAAAATATCCGAGCTAAATGAGATGATGGGTGGAGGAAGAAGGTCCATCCACCAAGCAATGCGTGATCTTGTTGCATTGATATCATCGCTCTATAAAAGAACTGCCGAAGAGACACCAAATAAAACTATCACTGCTAAAACCAACGATAGAGGTACCCAAACAATTCAGCCGCAGCAAACACCAGTTATATCTAAACGGTTAAGAGAAGAAATCGAAAAAAGTAGGAAGACACCGCCTAAGAAGACGAAAACAAACCGACCCGTGGGGGCAAATAATAATAAGTCTAAGGAGCCAAGGAAAGCATTGGAAAGCAACTTAGATACGGTGGCCGGGATGAACGGCAACGCTGATGTACCTCAAGCACCAATTGAAGACAACAACAAACGACACGCTTGGGTTTTACAAACAAAAAAACGCGTGAAACCACCTCGACCGGATGTAGTGATCATTAAACCGTCTGAGAAACTTTCCTTTGCGGACATACTCCGGAAAGTAAAAGGAGCTCCAGAGCTTAAAGCAGTCGGTAATGATGTTCACTCTATCAGGAAAACACAAAAAGGGGAACTTCTGCTTGAATTCAAAAGATCAGCAGAAACAATAACAAGTGTCCACCAAGACCACATCAAAAGTATACTACCTGAGGAAATAGAGGTCAAAACGCTAACGGAGGAAGCTACCTTTGAACTACGATACCTGGACGAAATAACCACAGAAGAGGAAATAATTGATGCATGGAAAAACCAAATAGGCGAAATACATCCTTCGGCGATCAAAACAATAAGAAATGCCCCTGGAGGTACCAGAACGGCTATAATTGTAATACCAAAGAAGCAGGCCGGTAAAGCTGAGGAGGTGGGCAAACTACGAGTTGGATGGACCGTGTGCCGATTACTCCAAAAAGTTACCCCCAGGAGATGTTACAAATGCTTCGATTTTGGACATGTGGCAAGGAACTGTCAGAGCTCCAAAGACTGGTCAAAACACTGCTACAAGTGTGGTGGAGAGGACCACCTTGCTAAAGCGTGTCAAGGTGCCCCTCACTGCCTACTTTGTAGAACTGACACAAATATTGACGCTAACCATATTACGGGAGGACCTAAATGTCCCCACTACTTGACTGCCCGTCGGAGGATACTAAATAAAAAAAGATGAAAGTTTTACAGCTGAACTTAAACCACTGTGAAGCGGCACAGGATCTGTTAAAGCAGACTGTACGCGAATTAAAAATAGATCTAGCTATAATGAGCGAACATTATAGTACACTAGACAATCACTGCTGGGCTACCAGCAAGTGCAACAAGGCATCGATATGGACGTGTGGTAAATTCCCACTAGAGAAGGTCTACGACGGAGGGGAAGCATACGTAAAAAGTACAGTGAATGGAATAACGTTTTTCAGCTGTTATTTACCCCCAGTCTATCAATCGAAGAATACAAACAAAGACTGGACAATATTGTTAGCGACGCTAAAAATATGAAGCCGATAGTGATTGCCGGTGACTTCAATGCCTGGGCCATTGAATGGGGCTCAACATTGACAAACCCCAGGGGAGAGTGCCTACTAGAAGCATTGGCCACCCTGGATGTAGTATTACTGAACTGCGGCCAAAAGGATACATTCACAAGGAACGGTAGAAGCTCTAAGATTGATTTGACATTTATCAGCGATCCACTAGCTAATTCAACTGAGTGGCAAGTGTCAGATATCTACACACATAGTGACCACCAAGCTATCATATTCGAAATACATGACCGCTCAGCAAGAACCATTCCTGCGGTAGCCACTCCAAATCCGCTATGGAAGGAGTTAACTTTGGACAAAGAAGCTTTTAAGCTCTCAATGGACGACATCCACCTAACTGGCAGTGCGAATGATAAAGCAATACAACTGATGCGCTGCATAACAAATTCATGTAACGCATCTATGGCAAAGAAAGGCCGGCGGAATGGCAGACAACATGTGTATTGGTGGACTGACCAAATTTCCGAACTGAGAAGAAAATGTAAACACGCGCGACGACTATGTCAAAGAGCAAGGGGTCGCGAAAATTTTATAGCGCACCAAGAAGCCTATAAAACATCGAGAACTGAACTAAAAAAGGCGATATCGAATAGCAAGGCAAGATGCTTCAAGGAAATGTGCGAGGAGGTCGATAATAACCCCTGAGGACTAGGATATAAAGTCGTTATGAAAAAATTATATAGCTACCGTCCACCAGTTACAACAGACGCAGCTAAGCTACAAGCAATAGTTGAAGGTCTCTTCCCGCAGAGAGCTGATATAACCTATACAGTACAAGATAGTGAGCCACAGAATGAAATACCTGAGGTTAGCAGGCAAGAATTGGAAGTAGTATGCAAAGGTTTGAAACTAACCAAAGCACCTGGAATAGATGGAATACCAAATCTGGCACTAAAGATGGCCACAGAAATCAACGTTGATTCATTCAGGGAAGTGTTCAACGCATGTATAAAGGAGAGAACATTCCCCAGATATGGAAAATATAAAGGTTGGTGCTTATACCAAAGGGCAATAACGTACAAGATGCATCAGGCTACCGCCCGCTATGTATGATTGATACGGCCGGTAAACTTTTGGAAAAGATAATTAGCCGAAGACTAGAAGAAGCCCTGAATGGCAATGGTTTATCAGATAGACAATTTGGTTTTCGGAAGGCACGCTCCACAATAGAGGCCGTGGAAGCAGTCATAGCCATAGCAAAAGATGCCATTAAAGGAGACC